CGGGAACCAGACCCCGACATCCCGCTCCCCCTAACTCTTTGGACCTTGATTTTTACCTATTTCATCAGCTCTTGACCCTGCAGTTGAGCCCCAGCCTCGTGCCAGTGAATACTGGGCTCCCACTGATGCTCTTACCTTGCTTAGGACATAGATGAGGTCCCCACGGTGGAAGGAGAGCTCGTTGGGATGCTCGCCGTTGCAGTCCCACATGCCTTGGTAGTAATTAGCGTAATCTCGTCGTTGGAGACCTCCTAGGAAAAAAAAAAAAAAAAAACAAGAGAGAGGTCAGGGGGATGGGGAATTCCATGGGGAAGTATTGGGGGGGGGGAGGGTTGTTGGGGAAAGGAAGGACATGGTGGTGATGTGCATTTTGTGTTTCAATTAAAAGGCAGAGGCTGAAGAAGTACTGCAAGGGGCTGGTCAAGAAATGAACACAATATCATAGAATCTTGGAATGGTTTGGGTTGGAAGGGACCTTCAAGGTCATCTAGTTCCAATCCCCCTGCCATGGGCAGGGACACCTTCCACTACACCAGGAGTAGGAAGCAGGGATAGGAGAAGAACAGGGAGCAAACATCTGCCTTCACCCTCCCATTCCCAGGAGGTCAGAGAAGGTCCCAAACCTTCTACAGCACAATATAACCTCGTAGCTCAGGTCTTGATCTTTCCATGGAGCTGTGAGTTTGTTGCTCGTTGCCTGTGACCAGTTTGCTGTGGGAAGGGAAGGGGATGTGAGTCAGCAAACTCTTTTCTTCTCTCCTTTTTTTTTTTTTGAGAGGCAAACGATCTGTTTGCTGAAAGCCGCAGCTTTGGGCTCATGAGACTGTTGGCAAAGGGTGCCCAGGCTGGGGTCAGCCCTGGGCTAAACGTGCACGTGGGTTTCCTGGAAAATATCACAGCAGCGTTTCCAGAACGAAACGTTTCCATCTTCACCATCTCAGAAGGGCATTTCCCACTCAAGAAACTGGCCCAGGGACCAGAGCCACCACAAAAGGTGGGTCCTCACCACGGGAGCAGAAAGCATCTCGCCTTGTGATGGGACCAGACGAGCCCCATGCCAAGGTCTTGCAGAGCCCCAGCACCGGAGGAGATGCTGCTCTGCCCAATCTGCAGCCTGGGGAAGTGACTCGTCCCAGCACATTCAACAGACCCTTCTCAGCATCAAAAAAAAACCCCAAAACCTTCCAGATTCCCAGTTCTCAAGCACACAAGAGGACCATTAAAACACGCTCCTGGACCAAAAGCTTCAGGCAGGAGACTGCCCTGATGGCAAAGCACCAAAGCAGGGGTGAATCCAGATGTCACGACACGGACATCTCTGTGATGTGACCCCCATGGCTAATTAAACCCAGTAAAACCACATTCTGCACGGGGTGGGAATCGAGCACCGGGGCTGTACCAGCGATCTGTGCTGCTCTGCCACGCAGCTGAACCAAGCCCAGAAAGCATAAATAGAAAATATCGAGCACATGTTGGAGGAAATGTTTCTAATATGGTATAAGGGACCGAGCGATAAGGGTGCATCTGGAGTGCTGTGCCCAGATTTGATCACCTAAATATGAAAAAGGACATTACAGAGATGGATAATGGCACAGCAGGGAGCAACCGGAATGACTCAGGGACTTGGGGAACTTAAATAGAAAGGCTAGGAATTAAAAAAAAAAAAAAGTAGGTCTGCATCCTTTGGAAAGTATTAAAGGGGGAGCACAGAGCGGCGAGGAAAAGATTGGGAAGGGAATAGGAGGAGTAGAGCTCCTGAGTTATTTAAGCTCGTGCTAAGTGCAGGAACCAGTGCAGGTTACGAACTGGAGGCAGAGGAAACATCAGGGCGCGGGGGAGGACGCGGCAAGGAGCGGCTTTGGTAGGAGCCAGCAAATTGTGCAATTAACGCAAAAGGTCGTTATGGGAGGGTGTGAGGACAACGCCGCGCTGCGGAGAATAACCTGGTGCAGGGGGCACGGCGCTTGGCACCGACCTGCTGGTCAAAAGGCTGCTCTGGAGGTATCCAAAATACCAGTAATTCCATGGAGCATCATCACTAACTTGCTGGTGAAGAGATTTAAACGCAGGGATCCCCCACATCAGCCTCTGCTCTTCTTCAGATGGAGCTCTGCTGTGTCACTCGTGCTTTGGGAGGGCACAGGGGTTCATGTTGAGACAGAAAATACAGCTTAGGAAGGTGTTTCCAGAGCTGAAAGTGCCCGTTTTCCTCTGAAGCTCCCCGGGGTGGGGACCCAGGTGCCTGCTCATCCACAGGGATGATGCTGCTGGGGAGCTGGAGCCAGCACATTCCAGCTGTCCCTTGGTCACCAGGTCACCCTCCTGTCCCACATCTCTTTCCTGCCTACCAAAGGAACAAGAGGACCTTGGAGGCATCTGGCCACCCTGTCAAGGAGCAGAGAAAGGAGAAGCCACTGCTAAAATGGAGCCTCTGCAAAGCTGCACCCATGAGCCCGGCTGGGACACTCCGTGAGTACAAAGGGAGAAAATTTTCCAGCCCGCAGGAAGGTTCGTGCTCCCAAAAGTTTGTGTCTTTTTTTTCCCCACCTATGCCAGCTGCTCGGGGGGAAGGTCTCACCCCTCCCTCCAACCCTGCCTTCAGAAGGTCGGAATTAACTGCACCAGAGGAGGAAGATGCCCGAGGATGGAAGTGCGGTCAGGCTCTGCGCTTCATGCCCAGCCATGGCTTCAAGGCAACAAAGCTGTTTGTGCCAGCTACTGAAAATCCCGTTAAAATTCAGACCGTTTGCGGAAAAGGGACCCTGGCTCGTATTTTAGCACTTGGAAGATATGGTCAGAGAAGGGAGAACTTCACTCTGCAGCCTCCGCGCGGGACGGTGGATGTCCGTGATCCTCAACCTGCCGGTTCCAGGCTGGGTGGGACGTGGGTCGGATCCAGACGAGCCATCCCAGGACTCCTGCGTTACCCTGCATCAAATCTCCTCACTTTTAGAGACAAGAGGTTTCGTTGAAAAAGCCCCGATGCCTCATTCAGACATTTAAATCTGCGTTCAGGGCAGAGCCGTGATTTCAGCGCGGCTGATTTACACTGATGGAAGTGGGACGAGAGCCCGCGCCCGTGTTTATGGGCCTTGGGGTCATTAAGAAAACCAGCCAAATGTGACAACCCATCGTTTTCTTCTGCAGCCTGCGCAGCCCCAAGAAGAGGCTGTGGGAGAGGCACGATCCGCCCCAACCCCTTTGCTTCGGGCATGTTGCTTCGGAAGCCTGTTGATGCTGAAACCTAATGACAACCGTCTGCAGCTCAGGGGTTTTCACTGCTGTGCTCGTGCTAGGTGAACCCTCCTGCCACGCTAAATGCAGGGGACCGTGACAGCAGGCAGGCCACGAGGCATTTTTTGTTTTCCAAGTAGAGGAATTTTGCTCTGTTCGTATGCGGCTGGTGAGCTCGCGCTGCGGCGGCGGGCCCGGAGCGCCTCCAGCGCAGAAGGGAGCAGGGATTAAGCAGCCTTGAGCGGAGCAAATGGGTGTCTTGGCAAGAGCAGCCTGAAGCTCTCAGCTGGATTTGCTGGGCTGCTCCAGCATCATGGCATCCTTCTGGTTCTTAGAAATTAGAAACAATCGTTTTCCATTAACCAAATGCTCATCTGGCACTTCGGCCGTGTGATATAATTAAGAAATAGCCGCTTCCCTCTCTCCCTCCCCGCAGCCCAGCCCTCTGCTCGAGGACTCCCATCGTCTCGCTCGCCCTTGGTCCAGTTGGACAGAAGCACAAATTCCCAAGGCAAAAGGCGGGAGCGTTGGGGTTCCCGGTGCTGCCAGAACCTCTCCCTCTTGAAAGGCAAGAGTCAAATCCGTTATTGAGTGTAGGAACAGACACAGGACTTAGAGCGATCACGACAACGCTGATAACGAAACCAGTTATAACGATTAACAGCAATTACAGCCGCCGGGCAGATGCTAATGAGCACGAGCAGGGAGTTTAAGTGGCTGGCAGGGCTGCGACAGGCAAGAGCCAAAATCCTCCGGGTGGCCTTGGGGTGCAGGTTTGCCGGCACCTCCGGCACCAGCCTGGCATGAAGCCATGCTCTGCTCCCCGCTGACCCCACCTCCAGCTGGAAAACCCACGGGGGAGCTGCTTTTCCAGCCCCTGGTCCTTTGGATGTTTAAACGCTGGGGCAGTTGCGAAAGCCAAAGACAGACATGTGTGTGCACACACGTCCCATCGTAGAACGGTTTGAGTGGAAGGGATTTTCCAGATCATCCAGTTCCAACCCCCCTGCCATGGGCAGGGATATCTTCCACTACACCAGGTTGCTCAAAGCCCCATCCAACCTGGCCTTGAACACTTCCAGGGATGGGGCAGCCACAGCTTCTCTGGGCAACCTGTGCCAGTGCCTCAGCACCCTCAGAGGGAAGAATTTCTTCCTTAGATCCCATTGAAATCTCCCCTCTTTCAGTTCAAAGCCATTGCCCCGTGTCCTGTCACTCCATGCTCTTGCCCAAAGCTCCTCTCCAGCTTTCTTGTAGCCCCTTTAGGTACTGGAAGGTGCTGGAAGGTCTCCCCAGAGCCTTCTCTTCTCCAGGTTGAACAGCCCCAACTCTCCCACCCTGTCTCCATAGCAGAGGTGCTCCAGCCCTCACATCATCTCCATGGCCTCCTCTGGACCCACTTCAACAGCTCCATGTCCTTCTGCTGTTGGGGACCCCAGAGCTGAATGCATCGTGCCGGAGGCTGGGAAACAAGCTCCACAAAACTATGGGGAGTGGAGAAACGCTGACTTGCTCCAGACTCTGCAAACAGCTGGGACACAACCCTGCCTGTGCTACTGATTCCAGTAGAAAGAGGCCTGAGCACCCTCCTGGGCTGGGGCCAACTGCCTGAGAAATAGCCAAGGGGGTTTGATGTTGGCTAAAAGGAATTGTTGGATCAGGCTTTCCAGAAACACCGGGAAGTTGGGCAGAGGGGTTCTTGGACTGCTGGCAGCAGTAAACCAGCTGAGCGACTCTTGGGGTGCTCATGCATTCAGGAGAGCACAAGCATGCGTGAAGCTGGTTTAGCCACCCACCATCCACAGCATCCAACACTGAATCCCTCCAGTCTCCATCACCCATGGCAGCAGGATGCCTGTTGTGTGTCCCTGGCCAGGCAGGCACCCCGCGAGCTGGGCATCATCGGGGTGAGACTGTCCCCTCCAAGCTCTGGAGCAAGAGGATGGTGTGGGAAGCTCTCCTGAGCTGGGCTTTGCCAGGAGGACGTGTTTTCCCCCACGGTGAGGAGCAAGCGGGGCCGCAGGAAGCCTCTGGCCAGTCCAGCCCCGGCTGCTCGGACACAAGCGCCGCTTTCCTGCGCCAGGGCGGAAGCGGCAATGGAAAGCGAAGCAGGTGGGACTGGGGAGGAAACAGATCTTCCGCTCTCGTCCCACAGTGCGGGTCTTTAAGGACAAAGCAGGGGTGGGGGCCCTGGTGACCATGGCAGGGCAAGCGGGGCCGCAGGAAGCCTCTGGCCAGTCCAGCCCCGGCTGCTCGGACACAAGCGCCGCTTTCCTGCGCCAGGGCGGAAGCGGCAATGGAAAGCGAAGCAGGTGGGACTGGGGAGGAAACAGATCTTCCGCTCTCGTCCCACAGTGCGGGTCTTTAAGGACAAAGCAGGGGTGGGGGCCCTGGTGACCATGGCAGGCTCTTGGGCCGCTGGCTCCAGGCGGG